TCATGCATTTACATTCCTGCATTCATCAACGCAAGCAACACAACACAGAGCTAATTTACACAACATCACCTGCCGGGTGTGTACACACTACAAAGGTGTTTAGATTCCACCCATAGATCATGCTGGGAGGGAACATACTACAGAGGTGTATACATGTTCGTGGTGTGTTTATAAGGTTAGTAAATCAACCCCTATGGCTCACTCACATTGATTCACTTACAGTATGCCCTAATCTCAACAAAAGCCAATAGTGACTGTTCATTCTTCTTTACATATAAAAACGTGAATGCTTGGATAATTCAAACATCAATGTTAATTACAACAATTGTATAAAGAAATTATTTGGGGAGATTGTGCCACTACAATTGATAACCATTTAAAGTCAAACTCGTGCCAGGAAAGATCGAAGTATGCTGGTTTCCTTTTAGATGTCTTTAGACATACATTAACTTTTCAAATATCTTATCAAAGAGGACATTCTTATTGCTGACATTGTTGGTAATGTCTATCATTTTTCTTCAAGGTCCTGGAAAACTTCTAGGTTATGCATATATCCAACAACAAGATCGGGGGGTGAGGGTTTTAAGCAGTCATGACTACAGACTAGACCGTTACCTTTTTGCAATTTAGAAGAAAACTGGATTGGTTCTTTAAAGGCTAAATCCTCAAAAATGTTTTTTAAAGCCCAACTCTCTGCATAGCCCCCATCCCATGCATCCCCTCCCCTTCTAGATGCACTTTGCTGTATTTTTGTTTTTTTCTATATATACTATTTATTTTAATATCATGTGTGGGTACTCTCCAGCTCTTCCTCCAGCAGTGGGTGGTTTTCAATGATGTAGACAGTGCCATTGATGTAATTACATCAACACTACCCTCTGCATCATTATATTATGGGGTTGATTCACTACCCCATAATATAAAGACAAATATGCTGTTCACCATGCAAGAGAACTTTCCTTTTAAAGAGAACTTTGGGGTACGTGTTTTTCCCCATAGTTCTCTTAAGGGTCAAGGCAGGACATATACTAGTGTCCTCCCATGACCCAAAGCTTATTATATAGCGAGCTACAGCTCACAGTATACTGAGACCGCCCCAGCCAGGACGGATCACAACAATGCTGTTGAGATCCACCCAGCTGCGTGAGTGACAGCTGGCTCTGCCTATCTAGAGGCAGAGCCAGCTGTACCCGCCCCCTCCCTCATCCGTTCCTCCAGTCATCGTTGGAGGATCAGGGAGGGGAAGGTGGGAATCTCTGCAGGGAGCTGTGACTGACAGTCACCACTCTCTGCAGGGAGATGATCGAGAAGTGAGCGAGCGACGGTATGTGTTCACTCACTTCCCGATCTATTGAGCCGACGTGTGACAGTTTCATTGTCACACATTGGCTCAAACTATGAGGATAAGTGATTTTCACTCACCTCATATTACTCCTTTAGTTAAAATAAAAAATATGCATTTTTGCTTGAATGTGAGTGGATGATGGAAGTCAGCAGAGCTACACCTCATTCACATTCCCTTGCAAAGTGAACAGTTTATTTGCCTTTAGTAATTTAACCACTATGAGTGCAGGACACTGTGGTGATGCCCCTTAAAGGAGAACTATGGGGTTAGGGCTTTTCCCCATAGTTCTCCTTAGGGTAACGGGAGGACACAATCTAGCGTCATCCCGTCACCCTAAGCTCAGTATACCGGGAGCTGCAGCTCGCGGTATACTGAGATGCCGCAGTCTACCGTGAGCTACAGCTTGCGTTATACTGAGACGCCGCAGCTGAAGCGGATCCCGACAATTATGTCTGGATCCACCCAGCTGCATGACTGACAGCTGGCTCTGCCTATCTAGAGGCAGAGCCAGCTGTACCCGCCCCCTTCCCCGTCTGTTCCCCCAGTCAGTGCTGGAGGATCGGACAGGGGAGGGGGGAATCCAGCCCCTCCCCTGTCACGGCAGAGAGCCGTGACAGGATTGAGAAGTGAGCGAACGCCGGTATGTGTTCGCTCACTTCCCGATCTACAGAGCCTACCTGTGACAGTCTCATTGTCACAGGTCGGCTAGAACTATGAGGTGAGTGAAAAGCACTCACCTCATAGTTCTCCTTTAAGGGGATGCATCCATTATGTCCTTCGCTAACAGTATTCTAGGTTGAATGACACTGGGCATTATTCTATACAGAAATATGATGGCATCTTGTGGCAGAGAAAGAGTACTGCAGGAGGGCACAGAAGACAATGTGAGTATTTTAGCTAGAGCTGTTTTATTTTTGTGTTTTGTTAATCTAAAGCATTGGCTGGGAGACATTTAAAAAAATGCCCGGAGTTGTGTTTTCAAATGTAGTAATTTTACCATATATCATTCAATCAAAGTGCGGAAAATAGACTAAGAAGGAAGTGTAGTTTAATTAACTCTTTCAATGGTAAGGGCAATGCATAAAAGAGGTTCAGTCTTACTGCAGTAGCCTTAATTATACTGCACATATTAGCAGCCCAATGACAAGAATTAGCCACACGTAATTAGCCTTAATAATGGTACAATTAGACAGGGAAATATGAGAAACATATCACAGCTGAAATTGGCTTTATGTTTGTTTTTGTATAGAGGTGGAATTTAGGGATCATTTTTGAAAATGTTTTTCTCAGGTTTCATTATCAAAAGCTAGTAATAAAGGCATGTCTTTTGATTTCCGTTTACAAGTCAATGTTTGAAGGTTGTACTTGCAGTTTTGTAAAGATCAAGGTAAAGAGAAGCTTTAATGGTTTTGGTCAATTTTTTTAATGGTTATACATTTTGAATTTTGACAAGTTTATAGTCTGGCCTTGTATATCTTGTTTTCATGGTCCTGTAAAAAAATCTTTATTTTATAAATATACATTTAAAGAGGACCCAAATTGTTGAAGCTGTGCCAAAAAAAGACAAGCAGCGAACAAAGAACTAGTCATCTATAGTGCATGTAGTCTCCCTGCAACAGATCTCCTCTGATTTACTGACTTACCATGCCTTGTTTTGCACTTTGTCTCTGTATGGGGGTGACCATCTAGGTAGAGAAGTAGGGCTTTGATTTCTTATGTCAGAACCGCACCCCAGATGACTTGTAATCTGATGGTTATGGTAGAATGGTCAATAAGCAGCAAGAGATCTGTGAAGGTTCTCATTCATCCAGGTCATGGTATATCTGTAAAAAATAAGTCATGGCAACTGGACTTGTATTTTTCTTGAAAAAAAACAATACAGCAAGTCCAGTGGCATTGACCTATTTTTTACAGGTATAGCAGCAAGAGAGGTAGAGGAAGTGCAGATCCACTGAATAAATCAAGCATGGTGGGATCCTTTCACTGCAGGTCCTCAGGTATAAGGGAAGAGCAGATTGAGCAGCACTATAGTGGCATCTCCAAATCCCATGAGACTAGTAGTTACTTTGATGATCTCACACTGCAGATGTACGGCTATGAGACTCAAGGCACAGCTGTACAATGGCACATCAAGTCCATTGCTATTTTTCAGGAGAAATAAAAAAAAAAACAGATAGATTATACTTGGTGCTGCTTAGCCACAATTAACACTTTTGTATGTCCCCTAAAAATAAATCTTGTCTTTTTGAGTTTAGGTTAGCAGGATACTTTCATTACAATTGTTTGTAAAGCATACTGGGTTCTTTAACATGAAAGGCCAGCACTCTTGTTGTCTTTCTCTCCCTCTAGCTAAGAAATAAACATTGGGATGTCCTTCCCATCAATCATATTACAGCAGGGATGGCCAAACTCCGGCCCTCCAGCTGTGGTGAAACTACAAATCCCATGAAGCATCTCTCTCCAGGAGTCATGTCTGTGGCTGTGAGAATCTTGCAAAGCCTCATGGGATTCGTGGTTCCACCACAGCTGGAGGGCCGCAGTTTTGCCATCCCTGTATTACAGGTTACTTAGCAGTAAAACAATTCAGAATTGAGACGTTTTGTCTCACCTGGACCTGCTAGATGCAAGTGATATTCATTCTTTTTTTAAAATATTTACCTAACTAAAAAGGATTTTTTTATTTTTATTTCTGAACATTATAAAAATGAAAGGAAATGCATTCAAAAACACCCTATTTTCCATCTAGCCCATTTAAAGTGCATTTCTTTAATACATATTATCATTTTTTGAAGAGCAGTAGAGTTTGTATAGTCTGGATTTCTACTATAATCTGAAATAAAAATGTACTCTAATCTTTTAATTGAATTTTGTTTTAAATGTTCTTATCACTTTATTACTGTGAAATAATGAAAGTCTAAAATAATTAAAATTTGTCGAAATTTCCAAAATGTTTTATTGAATGCTTTACTCATAAAGGAAACGCATTGGGGGACATAAAATGTTCTGTATACACTTGAAGAAAACATTGCTTCTGAATTACAATTTAAGCTACTGTATATTTACTAAATATTGTGTTGAGTTTAGCGTGAAAAAAAATAGGAAACATATCCAAATTAATACAAGCACAAAAACGTAATGCAAGCTCAAGAAATGGTAAAACATTTAGAAACGTATTTTTTTTTAAAAGGTGTATTTATTACAAACTTGAGATATAAAACAATATTGAGATATACAGCATCTGTTAAAACTGAACTCTGGCCAATAAAAAAACAAGACATACCTTTCACACCCCACCTACCAATGTTTTGTTTAAAGAACCAAAACTTTTTAGACCCAGAACCTGAAAGTGCTGCCACGTGACTCTCTGAAGCACTTTTGCAGTAGTAAAGATTGGTGATTGTTAGCTGGTCTCTGACCAATTATGTTGTTGTCCCTCATATAATAGCATTGTGATGCCTTCCCTTTAAGACTAGAAAACCCTCTGAGTACCCTTTTAGAACCCTTTGGTGGACACTTATGACAGCCAATGACAGCAACCACGTTATCAGGAAAGATTGAGAACACTGCAAAAAGGACTCTCACGCATTATAGACCAGGAGAAAGATGAAACGGGATCGAACATGTCATGTGACCATTATTTCAGTTAAGAAATCTGAACGTTTGATTACACTGTTGAAAATAAAAACTAACAATTAGCTGGAGGTGAGTAGAATGGGAAAGAGTTGAGTTTTAAGTACAAAACTTAGCAGAAAATGTCTTCATATTTAGTTATCATAAGTTCTACAATTTGGTTTTGATACACCATGTGGACGGTCATGCTTCCTGCATCGCTCTCTGGTCTCAGAAGTGTTGGCCCAAACACAATTCCCAAGCTCTGAGTGGACATAAGGTTTGTAGATGTATTGATGACAATCCTGTAAGAAAACAACAATTAGTAAACATATTACAAAAAATGTTACATAACATCTGGAAATGATGATGGCAAACTGTCTGTAAAGAACTGAACAAACTACCCTTGCAGTAGAGCTTACCCTGCACTGCGAGGGTTAAACGCTCATTTTTCTCCCTAGGATGCCAGGGGAAAAAAATACTTTTTACTTGCGTTACTTCTCCCTTCCACAGGCTCCTCCTTCCATGTGACAGTACCCTTCATCTACAGCACTCCATCTGGAAGGTGCAAATGTGACATCATCATGTACAATGCAGGACCATCAATCCTGGATCGTAAGTGAGGAGTCCAACCACAAGCTGGAGCATTAGAGAGAATCTACAAGCAAGCTGCCAGGAAAGTGAAGGAAAAGTTAAAAAAGTCCTTTTTCTTGGTACTCTAGGTATAAACAAATATTTTTCTTTGCAATGCAAGGGGAGCCCCACTACACAGGTAGTTTGTTCAGTGCTATGAGTTCAGATCTAACTGTGAATATAAAAACATGGTCTACAATGTCCAACCAGGTTGATGAAACAAACTTTTCTTTCTACCTTTCTGGTGCCCTCCATCGCTATCTCTCATGCCTTGTGAAGAGATTTTAGCCAATGGCATTTCAGAAACCTCATTACCATAATAATTAGGGACGAGTGGAGTAATTTCGGCAAAATTGATTTTGCCGTGAAATTTCCGATTTTGCCTCCGGAGAATTTTTACCGAAGCGGAAACTTTCAATTTTGCTCATTTAGCTGCTTAGACGAAAATTACTTTTAAAAAAAAATCAGGTTTTTTAAGCTGTTCAGAGGATGTGGTTTTTATGGTGTACAGATGAGTGTTTTATACGGGATTCCTTCTATTTGTATTTTCATTTCCTTTTTTGTGTGTATTTATTTGACATTTTGTATACTGTTCCTTTCAATATTTTGTTTTACTATTTTGTTCAATGTAATTTGTTCTTTCTGTGTAAAACAATCTAAAAAAAAATTTAGGCTAATGAGGAACCATTTTTAGCTTAAGAACAGCTCCACAAGAATGCTCACCAGACCATGTCCCCACAACATTTGTAGAAGGTTTGGGCTCATTAAATACGAACCAACCAGAATGTGAGAGGGTATCAGGTGAAAACTGCTGTTGTGTATTTCACAGAAGGTGTTAATCCAAAACTGCACAGGAAAACCTATTTGCTGCTTGGTGGTTATATACAATTCTAGTACAGTCGTATCAAGCAGAAGAGTGATGTTTCGGCAGGCAGTACCTGTACTGTGCCATGTCGTAGGCTTTGACTGTCCTTTTCTGATAGTCTCTAATGTGGAGGCTCTTGTGTTTTTTAAGAGGGCCGCAATAAAAGCAGGGTTTCAGTCCAGACAAGCAGGTTCAAAAGGTCCATGCGGGTTATCACTCTACAGGGACATACACATCTCTAAGCATTTTATAAAAGAGGTGAAAACAATGTGAGTCAATGGTGGCACAGCGCTATTCATTACTGTAAATGTTTTTATTGTTGCCTGAGAAAGTTCTCATTTATCCAGGTCATGGTATAGCTAGTAGTAATTAGTCATATTCAACTGGACTTGTTCTATAATATTAAACATGTTTCATAACTTATCCAAGTCACCTCCTCAGTTCTGATTAGTGTCATAAAAATATAACAATTCACACCTCCAGCCAAGTACAGCTAAGGTTTAATGCCTATGTAGGCTTCCTGATGCCATGGATTGCATTATGTAACTAGAACAGGGTGGTTCCACACCTTTTACACCATGCATCTTGTTCTTGGACAATCAACATCTGCCTTTCCATGCTATTGGAAATGGACTATCTTGTTCTTGGACAATCAACATCTGCCTTTCCATGATATTGGAAATGGATTATATGGATTATTGCACACTCTTCAGAACTGATGTAGTGGCTTGGATAAGCCATGAAACATATTCAATGTTTAAGAGCATGTCAATTAAAATGTGAGCAACTAATACTAACAAATACTGTCGGCCAGTTGGCACAGGTCAACCATCCACCCAATTAAAAAAGACAGGTGAAGATGTGTTTCCCCCTCCTTGGTTGACAGTCTGTGCTTTTGTTTCTGTGTGCAAGCCATTGTTTTAAGTTGCTGTGGTGGTTGTGGCATCTCTGGCAAATCACCACCGCAAAGGTCTCTTTGGGAATATTCTTAGCATTCCATAGTGATTGCAGGGTGTGGCAAGTCATGGGATCCATGATCATCCACTACAGCTTGGCACTAAAATAAACTGAGAGGAGCTCCATCAAGCAGCTATAGACTTTATTTTGAAAAGTTAGGCTATTTGAAAACATTCCTTGAAATTATTTGCCCACACAGCCCTTTAACAATGGGCCTGTTTCCTGATCCATTTAAAATTTGAAAACTATTGCGATGGACTTTATCTGTCAATAACAGGAACTTCGGAATCTTAAAAATGCACATGTGATGAAGGTTTACTGGCAGAGATCTGAATTGGCTAGCATTTCCCTGAAAGTATTTTGGCTTGCAGAACCTCATTTTTGATCATTATCTTTTTCAGAAAATTGTGAAATCAGTTTGATAGTTTCTTGAACGGCTACATCCAAATAACCACAATCAGAAGATACTCAGTCCTCTCCTAAAATAAAGCATTGTTTCAAGAGATGTACAAGTAACTAATCATTATTCCATTTTAGGCCACATAACTGGCTCGCTGCATATTTAATTTTAGGCAGAACTTATGAGCAAAAATAGCCTTTGATAAATAAAAGGAATTAAATGAATTGGATCATTAAGGGAGGGACATCTTAAATGTGTAACTAAAATGAAGGATAGTCGAGTAGTTGGTGCCACAATATTGATGTCTATGCCTTTAAACTTAGGCCAGCTATAGTGCTCAAAAAATCAGCATCTTGTACTTGCTACCATGGAAGAAACTAAAAGCAGCCCAATGATGCCAGCCCAGTCAAAAAAAGCTGAGTACTATGGCATTTAGTATAAAACTATATTTCTACAAAGACATGTTAT